AAATACACGCCCACTATGTGGTGTGAAGGATCATATTTCAGGTACTTTTTCTTGGAGTTTGGATACTCAGAATTATACCATAACAGCTTGCTTTCGGTTTCGCCAAAACAGTTTTAATGTCGTCATCATCATCACCTTGAAAAGTCATTGAGCCCCTACTGGATTTTGTAAATTTAAATCAGTGCTGAAATTGTACATGACACTATACCACAAGCCAGCATGGTTGTTTCACTATGAAATATAATTTATCTTATGTTTGTGATGTTACTCTGAGTGCATATCCACACCGGGCGAGCCCGAAAAACATGCCCGGCCACGGCGGGATGGGCCGCCGTGGCCGGGCATGTTTTTCGGGCTCGCCCGGTGTGGATATGCACTCAGAGTAACATCACAAACATATTATTCACCTGAGTACACAACACCAGCACAGAAAAATTTATAATTTATCTTTTATTACATTTACATTCTTTGCGATTGATCATATTTTCAGATTGTATATGCCGCCAGGGGGGTTTCCCTTAAAAAACAACTTTGCTTGCAATTTTGAACATGCAATATTGACAATAGTGGCGCTCCTCGTATTCTGTTTGGTAAACCATTAATTCATCATGGTCGAACGACTGCTTAAATGTTGGTCTTTTTTGTTGATTGTTTACCGTTTATTTGATATTGGCTGTGACTGCTACTGCCGCTACCATTTGAAGGCTTTGAAGGATTCAAATCGTGATCGACATACTATACTGACGTTGACATGCCTGTGCGGTACCGCGTTTAACTTGTTTTCTCTGAATCGTTTATACAACGCTCTTCGCAAAGTCCAACCACCCGATATTGGGAAAATCAACGTCTCAAGAGTTCTCTTGCCTGAGCTTAATTTTTTTGTGCTGGAGGGGGTGGTGAATGTGATTCAGGTCGGAATGCATCCGACAACATTGGCGCAAGAGACTGCTGGGATTCGATGGATTATGGCTTGACTTGCTGTTGCTGTTGCGGAGCTGTTATGCAGTGCGTTTGCTTTTTGAAGAACTTGTGTGGCTGTCATGGAAACGCTTCTCATTACTACTGTCAGGATGTGAAAGTTGTAAACATTTTCAGCTTTCTTTTGTCTCTTATTTCTGCGTACATTGAGGTTGCCTCTATCGCTTAGGGACGGACCATTTGATTTTTGATGGTGGGGTGGGTAGATTTTCAGTTTGCTCGATATTTTTTTTCAGCTTCCTGACACTGTTCGATTTTTTTTTGTCAGTCAGAGGACTTGCACGATATTTTTTTGTATGCATGTATATACATTTTTTAGTTTTTAGTTTTTACATTTTTTGGTCTATAATAGGTACAATGACAAGTACTGGTGTAAGACATTGTGTAGCCTAAATAATGAGAGGACCAGTATTCAAAAAATGGTGGTTCTTCATTTCGTTACTCCGACTCCTATGATGAACATGCACGTAAAAAATCTAGGGAAACTACGATTATATATAGAAACTAAAGTAGGTGAAATTTTTATGGGACTCCATAAAAGGTGAGGATATAAGAGTGAGAAATTGAAATTGAGTAGGAAAGGCAACCCTACACGCGTTTCGACCTAACATTCTTCTTCAGCAGGGTTTTTTAAAGGGGAGGGGGTATATACAATTTGCAGAGGAGAAGAAAGGAGAGTTTAGGAGTTCGGAAAATAATGTGAACTTGGATCCTCTACGTAGCAAAATCCACACCAGAACTAGAAGAAGAAGAAGAAGAATTTATTCGCACCAGTCAAAAATACATAATTACAAATTTTTTCCACACATTATTAAGACAGAGTTGGCACAGGATATCTGAAATAGCTTTAACACTAATCGAAGTCAGATAACCTTATTAAAGTGTTCGAGCCACTGTGGGTCAACATTGGGTTTAAGGTCATGATGCACAATGATTATACAGATGCAAATTAAAATTTATAGACATATGAAAAAACAAAAGCAGGCATAAAGCCAGTAATCATTAATTATAAATTTGATTTAACTAATTTGAAAGCAAATGAAAAACAGAAATAAGAATAAAGATAAAGCTAGTAGTCATTAATTAAATTTGATTTTAATTTTTTTTTTGAAGACTGATTTAGTTAGTATTTTCAAGCTATCATCTATATCATTCCAAATATAGGGTCCCTGTGATCGGATAGAAAATTTACCGTAATTTGTTCTTACAATTGGTATACAATAACTAACTGTTGTTGCTAGTCTAGTACTGTACTTGTGTTTATCACTAATGAAAAAGAAAAAATCGTTACAGACAGTAGGGAGTCTATTTGTATAGAAATCGTGCATAAATAATAAGTTGGACATCTTTATTATATCAAAGAGCTTTAAAAGACCGAGATTTTTAAATAAAGGACTAGTATGTTCATCATATCTTGAGAAAGTGATTATACGTACTACTCGTTTCTGTAAGAGCACTAATGATTTCAAGGAAAATTCGTAGGGGTTTCCCCAAACTATGGTCCCATAGGTAAGAAAGGGGTATATCAAAGAATAATAAAGCTGAAGAAGAATGTTAAATGTAACATAATATCGTAATTTTGAAAGAATGCCAATGCTTCTCTGAATTTTTTTTGATATATTATGAATTTGAGTTTTCCAATTTAAATGGCAGTCAATATAGATACCTAGGTATTTAACATAGCTTGTTTGTTTAATGGAGTCACAATTGATATGAAGTTTAAGATCATGGGTAATTACTTTTTGAGGCGTACGGAATATAACGTAATTTGTTTTATCAGTATTCAAACATAGTTTATTTGCAGACAGCCAAGAATGTACCTTAATCAAATTGTGATTTATCAGCTCCTCCAGCCTCAATATACTATCATGCGAAAAAAATAGATTTGCATCATCAGCAAACATATGAAAGTAAAAAAGGTCAGAGCAATTTTCAAAGTCATTAATATATAAAAGGAATAATAACGGTCCTAAAACAGAACCTTGAGGCACTCCACAGGAAACATGCAATTCATCTGAACTAATACCCCTTATTGAAACATACTGCTTTCTATTTAACAAATATGATTTAAACCAATCTTTAGCTATGCCCCGAATTCCGTAGTGCTCTAGTTTTGTAATCAGTATATCATGATTTACAGTGTCGAAGGCCTTACTTAAATCTAAAAATATTCCACAAGAGTATTGTTTATTTTCGACTGCTTTTTGGATTTTATCAGTAATAAGTGTTACTGCTTGTACAGTAGAGTATCCCGACCCAAATCCGAATTGGTTTTCAGATATTATATTCATTTTCAGATATTATATTCATAGCTATAGCTATCTGTTGATCATATCGTATCATACATTTACTAATCTCTGTTTTGGTTTCGTTATATATGTACATGTTTTAGTTATTATTATTGTATATTCATATATTTGAAACAAAAATCAAACCCTGCACGGTGTTATCATTATTTTTATTCCTTATGTATCACTAATTGCCAAACGCACCTATCCCTGTCTTACAAGCTCCTACGCCACTAACACCATATTTGGATGCAATCACCTACAGTCACATGATCACCCTTACCATCACAATCACAATTCAAACTCACTATACCATTGAGTAAGTTAAGTTAGTTAACCTGCAAATTTGCTTCACTTCACCAATACGAACGATGAACAATAAAGTGCGTAGTGTTGGAATGTCCCGCAAACAACAAGACCTTTGGTAGGATAACTTGACTAATAACATGTATAATGGTTACATCCTTTCACTGTGTAATTGGTTATTTTCAGCTTTTTTGTAATAATTTGTTTTCCTCTTGGTCTCACATTATTTTCCGAACTCCTATGAACTCTCCTTCCTTCTCCTCTTCAAATTATATCAACACCCCCCCTCCCTCCTCTTAAAAAACCCTGCAGGCTGAAGAAAACTGTTAGATCGAAAATCTATTCCTACTCAATTTCAATCTCTCGCTCTTATATCCTCGCCTTTGATCGTGTCCCATAAAAATTTCACCTATTTTGGTTTCTACGGCCGTGATTTAATCGTAGTTTTCCTAGTTTTTTTACGTACATGTTCATCATAGGAGTCGGAGTAAAGAAATGAAGAACAACCATTTTTGGAATTATACTGGTCCTCCCATTATTTATGCTACAGGGCCGTAGGAAGCTCTTTTTGATTGGGGGGTCTGGAAGCGAGGGCCGAAGGCCCGAGGAAATTTTTAAATTTAGAGTCTCTGAAATGCCATTTCCTGGACCCTGCAGCCCCCTGGTTGCTACATACGGCCCTTGGCTACACGCGGAAATGCACCGAATGGCAAATAAGGATTACCACTCGAAAGTCTTGCTCGATATTTTTTTTCGTCCGTTTAGTCTTGCACGATATTTTTTTTAAGTTTGAATTGCTTGCCCGATATTTTTTTGGGGATTCTACCCACCCCCCCCATCAAAAATCAAATGGTCCGTCCCTTACGCGCAAGAATTACAAAGTTGTTGACACTCCTGGAATATATTAATAGATTTATATATGAATGACGGAGACCTTTTCTCGTGCTACTTTTTTCCTGATAAATAGTTTGCCGGTAAATCGGATAGATTAATGGAGCAAATTATATACTGACTTTTCATTATACTAAATGACTCAGGTTAGACTAAATATAACTGGGGGGGGCATAACTGATGAGAACTTGTAGCAGACTATATATCTTCATTTAACTTTTATTTGTAGTTGTGCATGATGTTACTGTAACAAGTAAATTGGTGTACATATGGTAAAAATTCTTCTTCTTTAAAAAACAAAGAAAACTAGAGAAGTTAGAGCAACGTTTGTCCATGTTTACGTTATCCATAATCCATGTAAGTCTTTATTTCTTTTATCGCTTTCCGGACGAAATCATCTATATATCATAGATATGTCTGCCTACATACCACCATAAGTAGTTTTACTCTAAAATTCGTTGTACAGTACCCTATATACTTGCAAGTGATGAACCAGGCGGCAATCGTAATCGTATTATAAAGATTAATGCCCAGCATAACGTACGAAAGAGAGCCATATAGACAATAATATAGAAATAAAATTTATTTGGAAGTACTAACGTTTCGTCTTTAACCTAAGACATCTTCAGAGTAAATGAATATAGTATGACAATAAGTTATAAATATGAATAAATTATTTACAATATCAAATTACAAGGTGATGAGGTAATAGGAATGCAGAGGAGGGGGTTAAAGGAGAGAAGTCAGAGGAGTGAGAGAAGAATGGAGCTACCTAGCTGATTCAAAGTAGGTTTGAGCTTTGAGATGAGAAGACTTTCACGGACGAGAAGTTCATCTGGAGAGGAACATGATGATAAGATCTATATTATCGTCTATATGGCTCTCTTTCGTACGTTATGCTGGGCATTAATCTTTATAATACGAGTACCCTATATGTTAAGTTGCATGTAATCTGTGATATGTTCGTACATAATTGTCTTAGTACGTCTCGTTATCCATTATAATTGTTAAGGGGTCGAATATCGATTGGAATTTAGTTTCTGTTTTCTTCTCCTGTCACAGCATTTTCTAGTTATTGTTATTGTTATTGTTATATCTCTATGTAAATATATATCTTTTATGTGTTTGACAAAATGAATAAATAAATAAAATAAAATAAATAAAAATCATAAATGTCCCTCGTTCGCTGCGCTGACTCGATGACATCGCGCATATCGACCATCAAGGGCATCAAACGATAAACAGACTCTGATATCCGGCCTCGCCCCTCATATGATGACCTTATACACAACCCAAAAAAGCCTTATGGTTTCTAGAAAGTTCCTAACCCTATTCTTGTAAATATTCTTTATTCTTTGAAATTCTTTGATAAGCCCTGGCGCAGAAGCCCTGGGTACGAGATTGACACCTGGAAAATTTATAATATATTTAGTTCGAAGGTATGGTTCGAAGTATCTCACATGGTCGAAAATTGTTTAAAAATCTCGGGAAAAAGTTGATGGATTTATTAAACGTTTGTCTTCTTGTTGTGTGCTCTTTGCCTCGGTAGGTAGTATTATTTGTCTTTTTTTTTACAGTTTTAAGGACATATTGAAGCTTGCATGCTTAGCCAAAGTTAAAGGTCGATTTTGGACTTGAACTTTTAGTGTGCTTTTATGACTTTTTAGCATTAACAATTAAGAAAGTTGTAAACGACAATATATACAGAAGCACTTCGTACTTGTCCTAAAAGCGACCTTAGCTTCACATTTAACATATCAAATGTTGCATATTTGAAGAGTATAAAGTCATTTGCACAATAAATATCTGTCATTTGGACATATTGGGGGATGTTGAATTTTGTTGTAAGACATTTGAAATGTCATTTGAACATTGTTTTATTTGAATGGTATCAGTATTTATGTACCATCTTACTTTACATGAGCCCGCGGGTCAAGCCAACCCGATAAAAGAAATAAGCAAATTTTCATACCTTGCCAACAGGGGTTAACCCGGGTCCCAAGAGGGGTTCCCCCCAGGTTGGTGAGGTGTGAAAGGGTTGACCCAGTTATTGTCGGTAAAGTCTGTAAACACTAATAAAAAAATATTATTAACTGGGGGGCTCGTATAAAGCCCCCTGAATAACAAGAAAACAAAAGAAATCTATAGTTTGTTATTTATCTTTTTTCCAGTTACCTGGCTAGTCGCTATTTTTATGGAATGTTCTTTCAATATTTTGGCTGTATTTCAAAGTTGTTGTTGTTGTTCCCTTTGAACTGGCATTCTATGAATGATCTAAACACCACACATTGTGCATATTTCATTGCATAATTCACCAGGGTTATCAGATGAACTTTTTAACAGGTATGCTTGTAGTTTTGTAAACACTTGAATTAATTAAACACTCTAATCAAGTGATGTGCTATCAGGCCAGAAAATTCGAAAAAATGTTTAAAGCTATTGAGAATATGACATCATTCCTAGGCCATTTCATTCCTTAATTAGCAAACTCTTAAATATTTTGCACATTCTTCTTTAAAATGAATGGGAAGAGCACAGTGGGGTAGCCAAGGGGGTGGGTGGGGGCAACTGCCCTCCCAATTGCCACAAAAACTGTTCTCTCAAAAAGTCTACATCTGTAGAGAAACTTGGGGGGAGGGGGGTAACATTACATTCTCGACTGAGGACAACAATGATTTATTGGAGGAGCTTGACATGTAAAATTGTAGATATGTTTCCAAGAAGAATGGATGTAGTTTAGATTTTTAACTGTTAAAAACATGTATGTCATTATTATCATTGCACAGATATTTCTTCATAGTCTTATTCTGTATGCAGGAAATGGTGTCTCATAGAACCTACTATTATCTAAATGCAAAATTTCTGATCAAAATCACATTGGGATTTTCCTTTTGTTATTTCTCCTCTGTGAAGCTGGGAGGAAGGTGATACTTACACAGACCCTTCTCCAGTTTTCCAAGGTGACTTTCCCAATTCATTTTATTCCAAGGAGAAATGTCTTAATGTCTGAGAACAGATGTATGGTTATCCTGATGATGACTGAAATATAGTCAAAACGTTGATAAATATAAAAATGTTAT